AGCAGTCAAAAATAAGGGATACGTATTTTTTTTTATCGGCTGAGACCTCGACTTTAAGGAGTGAAACCACCCATCATAGTTTCGATCCGAAATTTTTTTTATGAACAAATTATATTTTGGACAATTTGTTAGCACCACATTATTCTACATAAAAAAAACCCTTACGTCGTTCATGAGCATGATTCTCCCATAATGCTTTTCTTCAAGAGTAATAATTCAGAAAATGACGATGTATATTTACTAATATTTTTCTTCTTGTCTGAACGTCGCTATAATCCATTGTTCGGATCGTCGCCCTTAAAACGCCCTGTAGGGGGAAGGAAAGGCGAGTAAAATAAAAGGTGGCGCCGCAAGGGGGCGAAGAGTTATTGACCCGGCAATGAGGTTGTCGGTCGGAAAAGGGTGGTCGAAGGCCTCGCGAGGACCTCTTCGAGGACGTTCATGCTGTCCCAGGGACTTCCTCCTTTCGACCGGACCAAGCGTGCGCCTTTGTTGCATCTCTTTATATACGCGGGCGGACGGGTCGACCGAAATGAATTTAGTCAGGCGGGATGGTAAACCTTCCACCCCTTTTCGAATGAAAGCAAACGAGCCGAATCGTTCGTCGACCAGCGGAAAGAAGAAGCTTTGTCTGGTCCTCGTGCTAATAGAACTTCTTGTTTTCTGCGTCCAGTGAAAAGAAAATTGTCGCAGAGGCGTGGCTCGCTTCAGTGAGCCCTAAACATTTTGTTCTTATTTGGAAGTGTTTTTCAGGTGGGTGAGAATAAAGTCCCGAAAACGAGCTTTATATGACCGGGAAAAATTATGGGTGGTGGCAGGATTGTGTGTAAATGGTAATTTATGGACATTTTTATTAGAGCGTTCGGTGAAATTATATTTACACGTGGAAATGTTTTTATACTGTAAAATAAATTTCAATGTGCTTGTTGCACAGCTGCCTGTGATCCCTTCGCCAATAGTTATTTCGTAAGAATTCCAACGGCAACAAAAAAGGACCGTTTTTCAGTGCGGCGTGATGCTGAACCATAATTTCACCTTAAAGTTCTTTTCTGAACGGTGCAATTAACCGTTCAGAGAAGTGAATAATCGTAACCACGTTTCTATCAAGACGGTTTCGTAAAACGATCGAACCGATAACCGAGGGAAAACGTTAATGGAACCCTCGTTATGTTTCGGTTCGCTTTCCGTTTCTGCGGCGAAAATGAACGTCTCTAATTGGACTGACGTGATTTGTTTATAATCGAATATCGGGAACGATATGAATGAACTTAATGAGGAAACGAGCCACGTGAAATCGGGTACTATCTTTCCGGCGTTTTTATTACCCTCTTGAGTACTTCCTCTCCGTGATTCGTGTTAATGGGGTATAATCGTTCTTCTACCGATAAAAAGGCGTTAGTGAAAGTATGCCCGGTGCCTTCCGACCAAATCGTTGTAGTCTTCCTCTTCAAAGAAACACCGTATGGGTACTACAATTATGAGATACATGTAGGGATACAATTATAAAGTTGTCTGAAATATTCATTTTTTTTGCAAAACATGCAATATGGAACGGAAATCGGTAGAAATCGCCTTTAACACTAAAATTTAATTAAACAAACGAATAGATTCTAGGAAACGTAACATTTCTCTTTTCGTGCAAATTTCATTTTATTACTCTGATCGAAAAAAGCATACACTTTAACAATCGAGTATTATTCCCACGGTAGTCAAATTATGAAACTATTACCCTTAAATATTCAACCCCTTGCCTCCCGAATTTCGTGACGACCGCGGTCCTCAGAATCACTTTACCATTAACAATTCACCACGAACCAAAGGAATTCTTATACCGATTGCAAGTGTGCATTCACTCCAAAAGTTACATATCAATATCCAGTGACAATATTATTCCAGTTTGACTTGTTGAAAACGAATAATATACAAGTTTATCGAATTAATTTCGAAATCGTCCCCACGAGTGTGATCTGTGTTATAAATCAAGGGGTTAATGAATCGATAATTTCCTATTCCACCATTTTCATTCCACCTACTTGCTCTAAACGTTATTCTGTCATTTTCTAAGCTGATAAAATTTCAACTCAAGATCTACTCGATCGAGCACAGTTCTAGCTGCCTCCGAAGCTCGCGTTTCACGTTGAAGCATTTAATGGAGCGGGACCACGGGGTCGCCTTTTGCGTCATTAATTTATTTGGTCATTTTACTGCCTCTCCTCCCATCTCCAGATCGTCCTCTATTCCGTTCGGTCGACTGCTCGGTTTTCTGTCTCGGGAGTGGTCTCGAGTCCTGCTTTTAAATCTTGTTAAATTGCGTCACCGACCAGAAACACCAAAGTGTTCTCGGACACACGTCAATGGATGCGCATGCATTTTGACAGTGGCGCCTGAGGAGGAGCCCTCGGATTGCAATAAGATTTAACAGCGGCGCCATCAGTTATATTGGTTTTGAAGGAGATGGACCGAGACTACACGAGGAGATCCGCTCGTGCTGCAACACCGGATGCGATTTTCGCTTGTTCAACTGTCCATCACGCGTGCTGCAATTTATTAATTACTGTTAGAGAGAGAAGGTCGATAGTATAATAATTGACACTTACAGGAATCTAAACTCTAGCGTTTATTAACATTATAAAAACAACGAAAGAAGTTCCATGTATTTTGAAATTATAAGCAAAGGCGACAAAGGTTAACCTTATTCCTTCTCCATTTCAAAGTAGAGAAAATTATCGGTGACTGTTCGAAGGCTCCTTGGCACCGAGTGTTCAAACGTCGTCCCCACTACTGGGCGTTTGACTAAATCCACGAGGGACCTTCCATTCCCAGTGGTGGGTGTGACGTCAGAACTCTTAGTATCTAGGAGTCTTTAACATTCATCGATGATTTACTGTATTCGCAAGTTACACTCTTGGGAGTCAAATTTATCAGTGTACACGGTGTTGGGAGTGAAAATTTTCAATCTAGACACGCACAATTGTGAACTCCTCAAATGGACGTGTAGTATTGGTATCCTTTTGGTGTGTTGAAATGACCATTTATTTCCCACCAGTTTATCGCTATTGTATCCGGTGAATTCTTGTCGCAAGTTGTTCAAGATCCATCGGTGGATACTAAACTGTTCCTCGGATGTACTGTCCCATCGATGGTGAAAGGGTCAATTTTCTCTGTCTCTACAATCACCGCCCCGAGCGCCATCGATCATCGGTGATATCATCGATCGCGGAACATCTCGTTTTTTTTCTTTTGTTTACGAACCTCGTTCGTCGTGCTCCGCGATCAAAGGTACACGAAGCTTTTACCTGCGACTTTCCCTTTTCAAACGATCGTGCCCGTGTATAGTGCGCACGCAAAATCGTGAGTCACTTGACTGTACCACCTAAATTTAGTCGTAAGATAATCTTCAGTGAAGGATGATGGAATTTCTTTCATCGAATTGTTCGTTTCGATCGAGACGATGTTCACGTCCAGAAAATTGTTTTGCAACAGTGATCGTACGACTGTTAATTGTTCGTCTAATTAACAGTAGTGATTTCTAAAAGACGATCACTCCGACAAACTGTTTCTTTCGTTTTAGGCAAGTGTAATATTTCAAGATTTCGAAGTGTACGACCCAAAATGTTACGTAATACAATCAACGGTTGATTCTGTGTTTCAAACGAGACCTGAAACTTCCTATAAGAACATAAATGCATTTAAGATTGCATCACGGAAAGACATACATACATTCCACTCGACGTTAGAAGGCTCTGTACTCCTTTAATCGAGCATCACTTCACAAGAAACGTTGTTACCATACTAGGAAACCGAAAGGATCATGGCGGTCCAATCGTCTCGCCGCCATTGTAGTCAATTATGCATTTCTGCGCATAAAAGAGCATTAAATTTTACGAAAAAACATTTAACGTTAAAACGGTGGAATTTACAATCTTGCGAATGTAATTAATCACAGAACAATAATTCAAAGGAATTTATACGTAAAAAAATTGAACAAATTCATTCCGTCATGCCGTCGACCTAATAGTAAAAAAAAATTATGACAGTTAACGTGTTAATAATCATTAGACCGTAGATTCTCTCCACTAATTTTACAAAGATTTTCCACAAATAATAACATACAAATATTCCCCCGAATGTAATTTAATTGTTTACGAACTCTGCTCGTATGCTCGTTATCTTCGAGTTACACGCGCGTATCGATACCACGGCGCCGATAGGACACGTACCCGAGAGGATCCTCAGGTGCAAGCATGCGCGTGGAAAGCGCGAGAATGTTTCCTTTTCCCCGGGCCGAATGAGACCTGAATTTTCAGCTGCGGCTAGAGAGTGCCAACGCGTGTTATGCAAATACGCGGTCACTCGGCGATTTCTTCTCGTTAACTTGGTATCGTTAACCAGGCCTTTTCTCTGGAACCGTTCGAAACACGCCTGGAAATTATCGAATGTTTTTTTTTTCTCGAGGATACACGGTTCGACGATGTTGTAGATCGTGCTTGTTAATCGTCGATAATCTTTTCGTTGGATTGTTATTGATATTATATTGGTTCGTTGGAATGTTCGTTACGTTCTGAGGGCGCAATTGCAATCTCTATTTTTCCATTAACATTATATTCTTATCTTCATCTAGTTTTGATACAATTTCTTCCTCTTTTATATACAACTTAGATTGCTTCGGTTAAAAAAGAATCTTCAACCTGCTTTTAGGTGGATTTTCTTTTCGACGTATTCAGGATACAGAATATTCTAAAGGTACCTGATGGGGCAAAGTCTAATTAATTCGGTAGATGTACGATTTCAATTTTAAGTTTGACAGAACGGAATAAAAATGATCTTTATGCCTGCGGAAAAAAGTGAGAAAAGAATGACGCTTGCGTTGTACAGTCAATCCTCAATTTAAGGATTTGATATATTTTGTAGTATTTTACGTTGTAGTGAATTTTTCAATCGTGAACTCATTTTAATAGCGATTAGTGTAACTAATTCGAAATTTCTTCTTTCTGTTACAGAACAAAACCAGCCAGAACCCTACTATACAGTTCCTAGGAAACGAAGGGGTAAGTGGCAATCACTTTCTATCGTTTATACATTCACGTTGGGACGCTCGCGCGACATGTATTGCGTGCGTTTGAATTGTGAATACTCGTAGACGATGTGCCAACGATTATAAGAGCTTAGGCGACAACCAGTTTACTCGTAATTAGTGACGTAAATAAGAACCGGGTAATTCTTTCTTCTCCCCTACACAGATAACGAAATATCTTTGTCGTTTCCGTTTCCACGTAAGAAATGACTGTCCCCTTAAACAGGATTATTAATTCATTTAGGAACGTTATCTTTGGTCATTTACATGTTGAAGCGATAGTTGGTTGGTGTCGTAAATAGGGGGTGTCGGTATCTTTAACTGAACACTTCATTTTGCTAGAATTTTGAAATACCCGTGAGTTTAGTTTAAACAACTCATTTTTCACTTCTATCTGAATTGTTTCTAAACATGTCACATTGCTTCACGATATCGACGTGTTAATTGATACTAGACTGTAGATATTATGCGAATCCACTGTTCGAAAAATTAGTATAAAGACAACAGGAATGAAATATTTTTATTATTTATATTATGTATTATATTTGTATTATGTATCTTATGAATCTTTCGATTTTGTCGCGTTTTCTTCACAAATCCATAAAATCTACAGTCTAGCTGCCAGAAAAGCTCTCAAGAATTTAGCGTTAGAGTCTGTCTGAGCAATTAACCTAAAACCGTGACTATAACCTCCAAAACCGAAACTCATTGAAAAACAAGTAATTCCCTAAATTCGCAGTATATACTGAACAATAATTAAAGAGATACAAACATTATGCGCGTGAAGATTAAAAACATTTCTGGTAATCCACTGATATGTTCTGCTAAAAGTTCCATTTATATTCTTCTAATTATGCTTTTCCAATGAAACGAGCCGAAGACCTTCCTAAAAGTGTATTTATACCCTAAACCATTCATCTTGAGCGTACACCACATACATTTCCCCGCCGTCAAACGGAAAATTTCACGAGAACCTCGACCTGACCGATTCCTCCGCGTGTTATTTCTGCGAACCATCAGGATTCCGAAAAACACCTCGGTAATTCCATCGAATGAAGAACAAAAAATCAGCCTCGGTGATCGCCAACTGACCGTCACGTGAGTTCACGTCCAACGTTTTCCGTGAATTACCGTTTAGCGAACGCACGATGTGTGTGTGTGTGTGTGTGTGTGTGTGTTTATGTGTGACGTCGGGACACCAGCCAGGCGGAGTTAGGTTTTCTCGGAAGTTTTCTGTTCGCATTTTGTTGCGGGGATGCCTTCACGATTTGTTATGGAAACCTCGTTACTCGTCCCGCGTGGAACTCGAAAGTGTAAACTGGCCAAGAGGCTTCCGTGTGTGATGCAACGTTAGCCTCGTATATTCGCTTCGCTGAGTAATTCTTTCGCGGCGAGGAATTGATAACGAGCATTTAATTGATTACGAAACACACTGCAATAATCCCCGATGATCGTCTTCGTTTGAAACGAAAATTCAGCTATCGTGATAATCTTGAATCAATTTTTTATGCTTCTAATGGTTGATTATTTTTCTTATTCGTTTTTGGATTACTGTGATACAATAATCCTTGATGATCGTCTTCATTTGAAACGAAAATTCAACTTTCGTGATAATCTTGAATCAATTTTTTATGCTTCCAATGGTTGATTATTTTTCTTATTCGTTTTTGGATTACTGTGAAATACAGGCGACGCGATATGTTTTCATTTATCAAGAGCTAAAATTCAATCCTCATTAACACGAAATAAAAAAAATTCCAATGGGTAAAATTCCCGACAAATCTAAATTCATAAAAATCGCTTTACCTACGGATCCTGAGACCCAACGATCAATCTCTGTGAATCTCCACCACATGCATTAATCGACTAAAATAAATCCTCAAGAAATACTTCAGGAATACTCAAGAAATATCTCCCAAGAAATTCCAAAGGATAAAAAGACCCTGACAAATCTTGCAATTCATAAAGATTGTTTTTCTTCACGGATCTAGTGGTCGATCGGTGAATGCCCACGCCAGTAAGAAAAAGGTGAAGGGTTGCCACAAGGATGGAGGACACGACGGTGACCAAGTGAAATGTTCTGAGGACGCGTCGGGAAAAGGATCGAGAGTGAGAGGTGACGGCGCGTCATCGACGTCACATGGCACGATTTGCGACCAGATACGTATATACACGCATCGTGTCTCGTGTTACACGCGAAAGAGATCTTTTTCGTGTCGGGATCGGAGGGATCGACGACGGCGATACATACTGCGCCTGCCCGTAGACGTGGCGATCACGTCGCGACCGAAGGTTTCTACTACAGCGAAGGCGATCGAGGTCGTTCGAGCAAGGTTATACACAATTTTCTCTCCCGTTCGTCGACTGGCGAGCATTTCGTACCGTTTCTTCGTCGCAGAAACGGTGGTCCTTGGGGCGAAACCGTGGAGTCGCGATCGATTTTTCGAAAGCTTGGGCCCCTGCAAAAATCGGATTTCGAGGCCGAACTGGTATGTTCGATTTTCGGTTTGACGGAATCAAGAATAAAGGTGGAATCGTTCACTATAGTAGACGCCTACTTTGTCACTTGAGTGACAATATCTGGAACATTTTTTTACCGATATGAAACATTCCGAACCTCTTGCCATACGATTTCTTGTACGACTTCACTCTCAAGAATTACTTTATCGTTATTATCTTCCCAGACACAATTGGAATTCTATTCTTATGGCAAGTGTTACATTTATTCGAAACCTTAAATTTTAATACCAACGGAACAGTATTTATAAACAAATAATATACATGTTTACTAAATTCAGTTTAAAATCGTTATTACGTGCCTGACTCGATGTTGTAAGACAAGGGGTTAAATGACATCGAAACATTAGAAAAATAGCGTTACTGTGACTACTAGTCAATTATTTATCACGAACAACACATTGTTTATAAAGAGAATACTAAAAAGAAATATGTTAAATAGTCTAAAAATATTTTCTGTACAAGACACCAAAAAGATTTTTCTTTTTCCGTTTCTTTTCTCGTTTCGTTCAATTCTTTTCGACGTGCAACGTCTGCTTCAGTGGCGATTCAGACGCACGCGTCTGACGCTGATAGGAAATTCCACGTTTAACCGGATCGTTGCAAAATCCTCTCCTCGAGGCTTCGACTCGACGTGGAACGGAATATGTCGACAGATATTTTATTTCTTCTCTCATTACCCGTCCCCGCGATTCCGCTTATCTTCTGACGCTATCTTTCGCCGTGGCTTGGTGTACCGCAATATTAATTGAAGCTGGAAATCAATTCATCAAGACTGATGCAGCGGTTATCTTACAGGATATTGATTCTAGCTGTGAGATACAAGATTCACAGCCTTCCATTATCCCCGTCGTTTCCGTTATTTGCGATTTTGCACGAGCATTTTTTATTATCGTGACCACACGGTCGCTTATTGCTAGTCTCCTGACGTATTGAAAATTTCAAAGACTTCCTATAGTGTCCAAGGTTTTCGGCGTTGATCCCGATACTAGTGATATTATTCAGATTTTGTATTAGACAAGATACAAAATTTCAACCCTGTACCACTCTCAAGCCCATCTTCAGCGTATCAAAAACTTAATCTAAATAGAATTTTTGATTATTCTATTAGAGGTCAAGTTATCTTTTTTCTTCTGCTAGTCAAGAATTCGGGTGGTTTTGCTCTAAATTATACTCACGAAACCTCAAACCAATACGACTCAATACTCAACCATAGGTATCTAAACTTTTATCAAACCAGAACCGATCTAACTCAAGCCAATATCATGTTCTTTGTATTAGAAATCTCTATTTAGAATTTATTATTATTCTGCCTAGGTTCTTTGAACTACAGTGTACTCCATCTATAAATCTTTTAAGAGACGCCAGCAGTTGGGTGATATTTAGCTTCAAATTACCTTTATCTACTACACGTAAAACCTCCAGCCAGCATCACCAAAAATATCGTCACGTAATCGTCCTTTGATCCCCAACTCCCGTCGTCCAAGAAACTTCTTTTTACGATCGGCCTGTCGGCGTGCTTTCGTCCGGCCGCCTATTTCGAAAAACGTGTTCCAGCGTTAGGCAGTGATTATTTATGCAGAGGCGAAAAAGTGGCCTTGCCCAGACGTCGCCGAGGACCGTGTACACAAAGAGGCTGCACCTTTCCCGCGCGTCACGTTAGATCACGGTCTCGAAATCTGTTTTCGGTGGATGGTGAAAGAAGGTGATCGACCTCTTCCTTTTTTTTTTCGGGCGTGGTCGTGTGTGTCTGGTGGTTTAAACGCGCTGTTTCGTTTCGAGCGATCGAACGGTTCAGGGAAAGTCTCCGACGCGTTCGGTGCGTAACCAGAGTCCCTGAAGCCAGTTGCTACCGTTGAAGTTGCGTAAATAAATCGATTTTACATTGTTTCGTTCACCTGTTTGTGAATTTTGGAATCGTCCAATCGTTAATAAATTGCGGTAGCATGGCTATCTTCGAGTTATCTTATCCGAGGACTTTGTTAATCGCAACAGTTTTCCAGCTCTTATCTGTTATTAATCAAATTTTTATCAACGATACGATGACATATCAGTGGACTCTCTCAATAAACCTTTCTTCGATCTTTCTTTGGGTATCGTTCCTATATTCGTTTTGCTTAAAGGTTCCAACATTGAATCATATCCTGATATCTGTATAAGTACAAATTACGTGACACTTATGGTCGATTGCAAGTCCACCAAGATCGTCCTTATTCATCTGTAACCGTGCCTGCAGAGGTGTTTACGATCGAAAGATCTTCGCTGGATCGCAACTGAGATAGGCGATGAGCTGCGTTCCTCGAATTGCATTTAAATCGAGGACGACGATGGTCAACGAGTTCCTCGAACGGTACGGAAAAAAAATCACGATTAGCACCGCTCGAGCGCAATTATCCGATGGAACGGGGCTCGTTTCGATTCCAGTATCACCTGTTGCGAGGGGAAAGGAACACCCCC